TTCAGGATCGTTTTTCGTGCAAGCGCTTCTCTCCTCCAATCATCCGATCGTTGCCCTAATCATTATGGTAACTAGTGAGGTATAATGCACACTTGCGGCTCCAAGTTGGTAAGGTGGCACGCTTAAGTGGTGGTAGGATTATGTAATATATGTTGCCTGATTTACAAACAACTTGGGAAAATTTTGAATGAGCTCTAGGACTTCTCTCATGCACAGCACTAAATTGAGAAGGCGACAAATACGCTCGCGTCCCATCGTCCTCTAATGATGGAACTGCCTTGTCGATGCTAGCAACTCTAGACCAATTGTGTTTGTGACTGCTGCACCCACTGCAAACGTTAGAACGGTTTGGAGGAGATATAAGGCGAACACTTTGGGCGCATCTTTCGAGGTAAGCAAAGTCCAATTAATTTCCCCGTGACAGCAATTTGACTTAGATACCTTAGTCATGGGAGCAGAAATGCGCGCGGTGCTTTCATCTCATGATGAGCAGTGCACCCACGTAGACATGAATAATAAACGTCGAGGCACCCATTCAGCTTCAACACTAAGCCTCCAATTTGTAGGAATCACCTCCTCTAACTTACCGCTAAGTCCTGCACGCTAGTGAATGCAAATGTGTAAGAAGCGCAACGGAGTGAGAAATGGAAATTCGAGAGCAAATTGTAGACTGAGCACAGCGATCTCTGTCACCAACATGAGAACGCATCAATCTAACGAACTGGAAATCAGAGTTTGGCAGGTGGGCGAAGAAGGCGCAGAAAGTAAACTTGTCGGTTGCCGGGTGGATTTGAATATTTGACACAATGTGTTTGATGCGAGAGTATTGGGATGAGGTGGGCCACGTCGCATGAGATCAGAGCATAGCAAGTTGTTTTATCGCACAGCTTAACCGTTCACGTGAAGTGTTTGCGTATGGAAAAATGCAAATTGATAAACACAACAAGGAGGCATCCTTGCACCACCTCTAGTTTCATTTTACCTATGCTAAACCCATTCGCAAACAAGATCACCAGCAATGGGCTGTTAAGATGAAGCTCACCAGTTGAAGTTTGACGTAACTGGAAGAGCAAAACGCGAGAATAATGCAATGGCGTAAACTGTGAGTTAGCGAGACGACGTGCATTGTGTGGTGTCTATTGTGAACACCTCACCTCAAATGTCACTTTCAAATGCAATACTGATCGTCTCTCTTGTGCAAACAGTCTGGGTTTCATGTTAGGTGGTTCCTCCCCAGGCACGAAGAAAACATTTACCTACTTGCCTGCTTCAACCTCCGCAAAAGTCGCCAGTCAAACACAACGACCGAGGGTTGAATTGAAAGGGTAGAGAGACAGCGAATTCCACCCGTAATGTTATTGTAATGCTGCATTTGGTATTTTATTAGAACCCGCATTGCACGTCTGTAAAATTGCCTCCCATAAATTCATCAACACCCGCCTGCTACGTGGAGCCGGATGTGGGTTACAAGAAATAATGGGTTGTGACATCCGAGGATCTTCAGTAAAAGTAACATCCACTTGGCCCTCAAACTAGGACCCAGTACCTGCTCTTGCGTCCCCCCCAAACATGCAGGCTTGTACAACCGTCAATGAAGCACGCACCCTCCTGTACCATATCAAACACGCGCTTAGCTTACACTCGTGGAATAATCGCAGTAGCCATATGGATAAGCGATCACATCTACTTGATACAGTTGCGAAAGTTCTGATGCACTGTCCCTCTACATCAGAAAAAGTAACTGTGGGCACACTTTACCACACAAATATACGTCGAAATGGCGCGGTCGCTGCATGGACACACACGCAACATCCTTTCACGCATTGCTTCACATGGCCGACCACGTCTGATGCTTAGTGGTTCGTGAAGGTGTAAATGCATCCTTACGTGAGCAGCCCTTTTGGCACTAATTGTGACCCAATTGCTTTGCTGCAAAGGATACTGAAAGTGCGCAATACTAAGTGCAACTGTTTGCCCTCCCAAGACAGCATCAAACATCTGCTCTTATTGTGCGTCCCAGCAGCTCCCAGGCACTAATACAGGCGGTCAGTTAAGGACATCGTTTGAGGTGCAGCAAATATTTAAGTGACTGTCCAACTTTAGACAAATCAATCAATCAATCAATTAGAGGGGAGCAAAGCAAGCTGGTAAGAACAAAGTGCGAATCAGTAGAGGGGAGAGAATCAGGGACGGTGTTTGTTTGATGCAATCAGTGGACAGCATGTTGATTGCAGCGTGTAAATTCAGGAGTTTGTTCCTACCTGTAGACTTTGCATTTCGGGACATCTCTGACGCTGGATTTCTTAAAGCGCATCAACGGGTATGCCTTCTTTAATCGGAATTCCTTGGCACACTGGTTACGGAGGCAAAAGTAACCCTCTGGACATTTGCCGCAACTGCGACCAAACTCATAGGGCTTCCGTCCGCGTATGTTGCCGCTGCAAGGAGAAGCATTCACTGTCATCTGTGTGCATGGCAAAGGCGGTCTCCCAATGACTAACTTGGTATCCAGTCAAGTGTCACTTACTCAGGCTTGTATTGACAGACACTGAGGTATTGTGGATTTCCCCAGTCGGATCGCAGACCATCACATCGCCGCATGGCACAGCCCAACTGATTTGAGGTCGCCCAAACCATCTATTTGTGGATAGGGTGAAGCAGAACACAAGACACTAAAGCACATTTTAGCACAACAAAGCATACACTTCCACTTGTTTGAGTGGCATTGAAACAGTGGCTTCCTAACCTGAGTATAGTGGCCACAACGACCGGTGCAGGAGTGATTGTGATAATGGTAGTATTTCCGCTCCTTATTGTAGCCACAAACAGCTTCTGTGAAAGTTGGCGTCAAGCTGCCAAAAATGGCGAGATTTTGTCCCAAATCATGGTAGTGCGGAAAGATTCTCGAATCCGGATGCTCGAATTCGCATCGACTGGCCCAGTAATCCGCAAGATGCTCCAGCTCCATAGAGTACTCCTGCAATTACTCAAAGAGTGCGGACCACGAAGCAGTAATAAAATATTTTTACAGGCGGTTACTTGCATCACAGACAAAGCAGTCACAAGTGTTGTGGGAGGACGTACCATCAGCATCATATTGCTGGCGGGAGGCCACACATCCTCTCGAATCCGCAGGTGAGCCTCAAGTATTTGTGCGCGCTCGAGATTCGTGGGTAACTGACACGACGCAAGCGAGATGAGGGAGGCTACACCGAATGCCTTCACCACCAGCTCTAACAATACAAACACTGTACACGCGCACATTTGCTGGTTAACAACAAATAAGAGCATGAAAGCATGAGGCGGCAGGTGTTGAGTAGTGGAAACTCACTTCTAAGAATGAGTTGTGGTGCCAGAATATGAGGCTTATTTATACGCGAAGCATGGTGCCGCATGACTGGGCATGCAGTGAGGTGAAACAACCTGCTATGCACTGATGCCATGCCAGTCCTGCAACACCAAGTAAAATGAAATTTGTTCTTTTACGCTCCAAGTGCTGGGCAAATAAGAACTATTCTAATTGCTTTCGCCCCCAGTCCAGTTTTCCAGTCCCTCGTGTTGAAAAGTATTTCGTGTTGTGTCGCAATGGTTGGCGCAACTCTGCTAGAATTTATTCTTCAATTGCCAATTACCCTCTCTCATACGTTGCGTACAGAATTGCCGTCTATCGCAAGGGAGAGATGGAAGCAGGTTACCCTTGTAAGCTTCGATTTGGAGTAATTGCCTATGATCGGGTTGACATAATTGACCGTGGGCGAATGCA